AACTCTTCTACTCATCCCAGTCTTCTTTGCCTGTTTGCTGACCTCCCACTTATGATATATTGCTTTCCCTTTCACACTGACACCCGTGTAGTCGACTGCTACAGTTTACATCTCTTGCCCTCCCTCCCTCAGCCACCTTTAAGATCTATTTGCTTTCCATCTGTAAGTCTTTTTCTTTGCTTTTCCTTAATAACAGTGGTCTCATACAATATTTATCCTTTTTGCGATTGAGAAATTCCACTCACTATAATGTTTTCCAGGTCCACCCAGGCCAGGAGTTGCTTCATGGTTTAATCATTGTTGATAATTGACACGTAGTATTCTGCTGTGTATATGTACTGATGTTCTCACACATTTTTCTACTGATGAAACACTGTTTCTTTGTGTATGAAAAGTCTTATAAGAGTGATTTCATATGACATGTGTCCTTTTATTATTTACTTACTTTATTCAGCATTATGTCCTCCAAATACAGACAGACTATGAAGTGTTTTGCAAGCTCATTTATATTCCTTAATGCTGTGTAGTATTTCAGCAATGGACATTGCTTTTAAAAATTGTTCAGTACCAATCTAAACTGTTTTCTAATTTAATTCAATCTTGTAGTTTTAGCTTGCATGACATATGCATAACTAAATGCTGATTATTTTGCTGTAAATCTTTCCATACATAGCCTATTCTCCCCAGCAGGACACTCCAAAACTGGGGCTTCCCACCTTGGAGTAGTGTGGTTCTTGTGGCTAGGTGCCTCCTGGTCCATTCTGACCATAGCAACCCCATGAGAACAAAACAGACCACTGCCCCGTCCTCGGCCACACTGGGCTCCATCCGGAAAGAAAAGGATGCTGTCCACATTGCGTAAATGTGAAGAACTCTTGCTAGCGAAAAAGATTATTTTTCAATCCATAAGATAAAGATTAAATTACCTGACATCATCGTGAAAGTCCTAATAGATAACTTACAAGCTTTAAAAACAAATGAAGTCAGAATTGGAAAACAAAAAACAAAGAACTAAATATCACCCCCACCACCCCTGCCATCCATCTGTGCTCAAGGTCAGACCATGCTCAACCTGTTTGTTTGTCTGAATCAAACAAGTTGTTACTTTAGTAGCTAGTGCCTGCCTTCCACTCATCAGTTTACTAGTGGTTCTTATTTTCCCTCACTGTCCACACCTGGTCCCCTCAAGCCTCCACATTAACCTTTAATACAGTGGTTCTCAACCTGCCTAATGCCACCACCTTTTAATACAGTTCCTCATGTTGTGGTGACCACCCAACATTATTTTCGTTGCTACTTCATAACTGTAATTTTGCTACTGCTTTGTATCGGGTGACCCCTTTGAAAGAGTCATTCGATCCCCCAAAGGGGTCGCGACCCACAGGTTGAGAACCACTGCTCCAATACACAATCCCAGAATCACCTCCTTTATTATGGAAATCCTGACATTTTATAGCTCAGTTAATCACCTGCTCCATTGTGTAACCCGCTGTGCCAAGCTCACAGATAGAGCACCTATTGACATTGACATGCTTATAAATATTTCTTTACAGTCCTGTCTCCTGGGAGAATGTTTGCTTCTGGAGGGCAGGATTTACTTTTATTCATGCGTATTACCCAAATTCACCCACAGAACTATTGTGAACATACTTGGTGCACCTGCCAAAGGCCGAGCCCTGCTCCCCGCAATTTACACAGATGATTTCACATTACCTCTGCAAGAATCGGAACAGGTTGTCAGTATTTTTCTCACTGCATTTTACAGAAATGAAAAGTGAGACCCAGAAAGTGATTCTGGATGAACACTGCCCTGTTATGAAGTAGAAGAGTCAGCCTGGTACATGGTGAATGCATTGTTGTTAAATGCATAGTAAATGAATAAAATATAAATATAATTTCCCCTAGGAAAATTATTATCACATCCACAATGTTAATACAATGGGAAATTATGATTTCTTTTCTAAGGGCTATTTAAGAAATATAGTTTTTCAGATAAGTCTTCACTTTAACACATATAATGAGTAAATAAAGAAAAGCTGCATGGATTCAGAAAATAAGAAATATATTAAGTAGGTCTGATTAGATATCACACAGTGAACAAAAACATATATTTCTCCCCTTTTTGGTTTAATAAAAATATGAGTAGAGCAGGTTTCATAATCTATGTCAGATGATAGTACACAATCTCAGAATAGCCTTTTATTTGCCCATGGACGGTTGTATTTATATGGATGTTGACAGAGTTGAAACCATCAGTCAGCACCCATCTCAGTCAACAGTGCAACTGTCGCAGGACTCAGAATTAACTGTCACTCCAATGAGGATATAATATAAATACATCTATTTGACTGAGTAGAAGTTGAAATTTTCCAAGCTATTTAAAGTTAAAGCTGTTCACCACAGGTTTGTCATTCAAATTACAGGCAGACACTACCCCATGATCCTTGTCAATGACTCAATTGCTTCTGCCTTTGCATCTATGGCAGTCTAGGGGCTCTGCTATCAGGCTTATTGGGTTTGCATCTTATCCCACCCTGTACACATTTTTAACTTCTCTAAACTTTCGGTTCCATATCTATCCTCTGTGAATAGTAATAGGAGCTATCTCTGAAGGTCAAAAGAAAAAAAATGAGATAATCAGTCCTTCAGAAGTGCTAGGAATGTGGAAGGCACAGTGTTCATGCTAAAGAAAATGTAGCTTCTAGGACTGTCTTCTCTAGAAACGATGGTATTCAGAAAGGGTAGACCTCACACGGCACAGCAATCATGAACAGCGCTTTATTTGTCCCTGCATGTTCTGACTGAGAGCTTTCCCTGGGGTGCTAAGTAATAATAAAGTTATTATCTTTTTCAAAGTGCCTGCCATGTGCCAAATGCAATGCCAGGTACACTAAAGATACAGCACTTATCCACATGGCAGGGCTGGAAGTTAGCTATTGTTTTCTTACCTGTAAAATGAGGAAATTTAGAGACATTACATAACTTGCCTAAAGTCTGTCAGTGGCTGAGAGGAGAACTCAATCTAAATGAAAATGAAATTCACAGTAATTTGGATTTAACCCTACAGTCCCACTAATAGAGAACAACCTGACAACTCCTAACATCAACTTGAAGATTTGAGCTTGAAATTTAAATATTACAAGTGATTAAAAAATACCAAGATGAAACAAAATGGCAGAGCTTTGATCAGCAGTGTAAACTACAAGTTTATAAAAAGAATCATTTCAATATTCTTTACAGGTAACACATACAAATTAGTGCTATTAATTACATTCACCAGCTTGTACAACCATCACCATACTCTGCCTCCAAACTTCCCTGTCACTCTAACAGAACTTCAGCATCCATTAGGCAAGGAGCAACCTCTTTCCTTCTTCCTTCTTCCCAGAACAATTAACTAACTAGTCTCAACATCACAGGAGGCCTCAACATTTCCTGATCTCAAAGGTACCGTAATTAAAGTAGACTAATACCCATCTAATACAATCTGTCTTGGAAGAGGGACAGTCAGAGTACTCCTTAGGGGAAATGATGGTAAGACTTTATCTTACATACTATGAACATGTTGTCAGGAGAGACGAGTCCTTGGAGAAAAGCACAAAGTTAGTAAATAGAAAGGCAATGAAAATAAGGAAGGTCCTCAAGTAGCTGCAACAGTGGGATCAAGCATAGGAACAATTATGGTGATGGTGTAGCTCTGGGCAGTATTTCTTTCTGTTGTGCATAGTATCGCTATGGGTGCGAGCTGACTCAATAGCACCTACCAGCAACACATGAATTGGGCTGCTCACTGCAAAGGCTACGGTTAGAAACCACTGGCTGCTCCAACGGATGCTACAAAGGAGAAAGATGAGGTTTTCTACTTCGCTAAAGACTTATAGTCTTCGGAAGACACAGGGGCAGTTCTTCCCTGTCCTGTAGCAATGCCATGAGTCAGACTGGATTTGATGGCAGTGAGTAGCTCTAGAGTTTGAAGTACTGGTATACCCAGCATAATAATAGACATTTAAAGAAAGAGATTTGAGGGCCCAGAAATAAAACCATGTATCTAGGATCAAATGTTTTTTAAAAAGGGTACTAAGTGCATTCGATGGAAAAGAGGATGAGATAGTAATAATAAACTGTGTGGTGACAACGGGATTTCCATAAGCAAAAAAAAAATGGAGTTTGGTTTATATCACAGAACATATATGAACACTAACTCAACCTAACTAGAACCTAAGTACAAGAACTGGAACCATAACATCCTTAGAAAAAGAAAACAAGGTAATATTTACATACCCAGTTTTCAACAATGACTTCTTAATATGACATCAAAAGCACAAAAAACAGAACTCTAAAAACGTGTGATACTTTACCAAATTAAAACTTCTGGTCAAAGAACTTTATTAAAAAAGTAAATATATGCCTACAGACTGGGGGAAAATATTTAGGAATCATAAAGCTGATAGGACTTTAATATTCAGATTATATTAAGATTTCCTACAGCTTAATAACCAAAGATAACCCAATTAAAAAATGGGAAAGGGTCTTGAGTAGATACCTCCCCAAAATATTTTTACATACAGTCAACAAGCACATAAAGAGATGCTCAAGCTCCATTAATCATTAGTAAAATGCAAACAAAATCACAGGGAGATTATCACTCTATCCCAAATATAATTGCTATAATAAAATCAACAAGTGTTGATGAGGATATAAAGGATTTGGAACCTTTTTCCTTTATGGTAGAATTCTAAAATGGAACAGCAACAAACTTAAATATGGACACGCTAGGGCTGTGCTTTGACTGTCCTGAATTCACATCTGAGGTCACTGGCTGTCCACGTGGAAGGGCAAAGGTATCACTGACCTGGTGTGCCCTCTGATGTCTTGATGCCCATCCTGCAGCAGTACTGAGCAATCCCGTAATCGGCAATCTTTGCAATGATGGCAGCATTAGGATACAGTGTAAAAAGCAGCACATTGTGGGGTTTCAAGTCTCGGTATATAATCATAGCTGAGTGGAGATACCTGCCAGGAAAGGCGTAATAAATAGTATTAAAATGTGACTATATTATTATAGATGTGTCATGGTTTCCTTGAATATATATGTATATTCTCCAAAGTACCAAAAATGATGTACAAAGTTCAATTCTCAGAGTTTAGAGATACTGCAGAAGGAAATCAAAACATGCACATCTAATATTAAAAAATAAGACTGAATGACAATATAGAGCAAGTGATTTAAACTTTTAGGGGCAACCACTTAAAGTAAATATCTAATTCTTGGTGATATTTCTTTAGTATATATTTTTTATATTTTTAAAAACTTTTTATTGTAAAAATCTAGTAAAAGACTATAATGAAATGTGCATAGAACTAGAGTTAGAAAACAAAGAGGGAAGAAACATCAGGATATCTTACACTAAAAAATAAATATGTCTATTTTTTGAGTAAAAATTAGTTGAGTTCATTCCCGGGCCTGAAAGGTGAGTAAGCCCATGGAGAGTCTCAAGGGTTTTACCAGTCTCGATCTGAACAGTGAGTGTTGTCACTTTTTGTGATTCTGAGATTCGTTTCAGATTTTTCTCCCACCCTATCCAGGACTTCCTCGTGTGATCTCTTTCAGCGGTATCCAGGCACTATGCAGTTTTCTGGTTTTAGGGTGATGGAGATTGATGTTCCAATGACACGTTAATCTATTGGACTAATTGTTTCTATGTGTCTTTGATTTTCTTCATTTGTCTTTCCTCTGGACAAGAAGACACCAAAACTTGCAAATAGATGGATGTTCACAAGATTTTTAGACTCTAATTACTACTCACTAAAATAGGATATATACAATTTTCTTTGTGGCCAATTGAACTTGATGTCTCCTAAAACCGTGCTCCTGAACCCTCAGGTTAGTGAGTCCCTCCCTCAATATTTTCAGCTGTATCTAAGACGTTTTCGTTATCCTGCCCCTGCATGTTCCACCAGTACATGCATGGATATATTTGCAATACAGGTATAGATGTCCTTGTTAAGAGGCATTTAGTTGGTTCCAGCTCACAGTGGCCCTATGGGTAACAGAAGAAACCACTGTCCTGTCCTGCATCATCCTCACAGTCATTGTTATGCCTGAGCCCTTTACTGCAACCACTGTGTCAACTCATCTCATTGAAGGCCTCCGGTTTTTACAGTGACCCTCTCTTAAACATGATGTGCCTTTTCAGAGACTGATCTCTTCTCACCACATGTTCAAAATATGTGAGAGAAATTCTCACACACCTCAATCTTAGGGAGCATTCTGGTCGAGCTTCTTTCAAGACATTTGTTTTTAATTAATATTCATCAACAATACCATAATTCAAACACCCCGACCCTTCTCTACTCTCCCTCCTTCCTTGTCCAGCAATCCCAAACGCGAGGTGATGGAAAACACCAAGGTTTGTGTGTGTGTCAAGTGCACTTTAGTATTCAAAGTCACCATCGTTAATCTTGAGCAACATGTTTGCCCAATTTGATTTCTTGGCTGTTGCTTCCATGAGCATTGACTGTGTGTTGTTGCTGTTGTTAGAGCCATCAATTTGGCTCCACCCATAGCGATCCTATGCACAATAGAATGAAACAATGCACAGTCCTGCACCATCCTTACAAGTGTTCCCATGCCTGAGCCCGTTGATGCACCCACTGTGCCAATCTATCTCATCACGGTTCTTCCTCTTTTCTGCCACCTCTCCACTTTACCAAACATGATGTCCTTCTCCAGGGACTGGTCTCTCCAGAAAATATGTCTGAAGTATGTAAAGCGAGCACTCTGATTTTCCTTATGTGATGTCCAACTTTCACATGCATGTGATGCAACGAAGAATACCATTGCTTGGGTCAGGACCACCTTGGTTCTCACACTAACATCCTTATTCTTCAATACTATACAGAGGTCCATCCGCAGTTTTACCTACTACAATACAGCTTTTGATCTCTTTGCTGCTGCTTCCATGAGCAATGATTGTCGATCCAAGTAAGACAAAATCCTTGACAATATTCATCTTTTCTCCATTTATCATGATGTTACCTCCTGGTTCATTTGTGAGGATTTGGGTCTTCCTTACATTTAGTTATAATCCATACAGAAGGCTACCCTATATGACCTTCATTAGCAAGTCCTTCAAGTCCTCCTCACTTTCAACAAGCAAGGCTGTCATTTGAATAACACAGGTTGTTAATAAGTCTTCCTCCAATTCTGATGCCACACTGTTCTTGGTATACTCCAGCTTCTCGGATGATTTGCTCAGTATATAGATTGAACAAATGTGGTTAAAAGATAAAACCCAGGCGTACACGTTTTCTGATTTTAAACCACAGTGTCCCCTTGTTCTGTTCCTACAACTGCCTCTTGCTCCATGAATTGATTCTGAATGAGCACAATGAAGTGTTTGGAATTCCCATTCTTCTCAAGGTTATCCACAGTGTATTATGGTCCACACAGCCGAATGCCTTTGCATAGTCAATGAAACACAAGTAAACATGTTTCTGGTATTCTGTGCTTTGAGCCAAGAACCATCTGACAACAGCAATCGTATCTTTTGTTCCACATTCTCTTCTAGCATTACAGCAACACACAAGCCACCACAGAAAGACACACTGACAACTAGTAGTGGGGTGACTGTATATTCAAATGAAATAGAATACTTGACAAATTTAACCTATTCTTTGTTTATCATATGTAACCCTTTGGTCCAGCGGTGATTTTTTTCCCATTGAGTTGTATTACATACTGAAGGCAGATTTCTTGAATCCTTGATTTGGGGCAAGCTTGTGTCATCTGCTCATCACATATGCTATTACGGAGCCTTCCTCCAAACTTGCTGTGCATTCTTCTTCATATGGTCCAGCTTCTTCAATGTTTGCAAAAATATTGATAAGTATGCTGAACCTAACCAGGATGTACATCTTTCCTGATTTTAAACCATACTACTTTCCCTTGTCCCATTTCTATGACTACCTCCTTTTTTATATAAGGTTCTACAAATGCAAAATAAAGCATTCTGGAATTCACATTCCTTACAAGGTAATTCCAAGTTTATTATGATCCACACAGTTGAGTGATTTTAAATAGCCATTAAAACAAAAATAAATATATTTCTAGTAATTTCTGTATTCAGCCAAGATTCTTTTGATATCAGCATGGCCTCTTCTAAATCTGGTTTGAATTTCTAGAAAATATCAATCATTGTACTCCTCCTACAACTAATTTTGAATTATCTTAAGCAAAATTTTTCTTGTACTTCAAACATTTTACAAATCTTTCAGGTAAAAAAAATACTAGTTAAGATAGAAAATAACAGAATTTTGATATCAACCCTATTGTACTCATTCTGGTAATGTGGCTGGTCCTATCAGTGCAGCAACTAAACATATATTATTTGATCATTTCTGCATCTGTGTGGTTCTTGATCATATGCTACATCTTGATGTGGTTGAACATTGAGCAATTACATTTGGTGCAACAACTCCGTGTTTTCCTTTTATCTTATTTTGATGCTTCTTGCATCATTAGATATTTTGCCCTTAGAAGCCGTCAGTATCACAACTTGAAACAAACGTGTTTTTCAGCTATTTCAGATTGAAATATGCTGTTTTCTTCCTTTTTTGTGTTCTAACACCAGGTTTTTACACATTTCATTATAATGCTTTATTTTGCTGTCTTGAGCAGCTAATGAAATTTGCTATTCAACTCTGTTATTTCATCATTTCTTCCATATACATTAGCTAATCTATGTTCAATAAAAAGTTTCAAAATCCTTTCTGACATCCCCTTTGTTTTTTTTTTTTTTTTTTTTTTTTAAATTGCCTTTTACTTTCTTCATATATTATATCTTGATGTCATACCACATCTTAGGTCTCTGGTCAATAGTGTTTAATACTTCACAGCTGTTACTGAGTTAGTCTCTACATTCACGTGGGACATATTGAAGATTATATTTTGGGCTTCATGGATTTATTTTCATTTTCTTTAGCTTCAATGTAAATCTTCCTATGAAGTACTTATGGTTGGTTCCACACTTGGCTCACCACCTTATTTTGACTTAGGATGCTGCATTTCTGCATTGTCTCTAACCACAGATATAGTCAATTTGATTCCTATATATTCTATTGGTTAGTTACTTTTGTGTAATCATTGTTTATGTTGTTGAAAAATCATGTTATCATTGAAGAAGTCATTTGGTCTTTCAAAATTTTATCATATAAGTTTTCATTTCATTTCTATCACCAAGGTCATATTTTCAATGATTGATCTTTCGTGTTTTCATATCTAATCATCAGTAATTATCAATGTATCTTTCAAAATAGTTTTAATGACATATAATCAACATATCATACAATGTAATAGTGTGTTTAAAGAAAAGCGCAATTTGCTGAGTGAGGTTTCCAAATCAGGTCCTTTTGGTGTGGTTTATGAAGGAAATTGTGTACCTTGAAAGGACAGTTTAAAGTCCCAATTTAAAGACCCAACCGGGGTCATCAAGAACTGGATAGACACTAGGTCAAAAGTGCCCAATTAAGAATACAATACTGGGTGTATTTTCCCCTTGGGGTCTACATCTATAAGTAACGCTAAGCATTTGTTTCCAGTCATAGGTTGCCCCACCTGGTTTGTCCACCAACAGAGGTGAAATCACCTTCTCTAAGATTTGAAGTCACTCCTTGACTTGAATTTCATTTAAGGCTCACTAAGCACTCTTGTAGGATTGTCTGTTGCTTTGAGATGACTTTAGAACAACGTTACACTGCCAAAGCTGGTCTTCTCCCTCTCCCACTCAATATAAGCAATTGACCCCTGCTGGGTTGAGGCTTCCCCTGCTGAAGATGTTTTTAAGATATACAATTAAGAAGGTGATAAATGGTTCATAAGCACTAGGCAGGCATACTACCTCATTGCCTGGGAGACCAGGTAAGAATATTACATGACCTAAGAACAGAAGCATGCCGTTGTGTTAGTGTCCATTATTCCAGTAGTTGTCTCACACAATAATTTCCCTTTTGTG